TCCCATTACAAATGCAGTCCTTGTTTGTCTCTCCTCTCTCCTTCTCTCTCCCTCCTCTTCTCTTGTTCCCCTCCAAACGACAAGCACGCAAGAAAGGAGGAATTGGAGGCCCTGTTTCTTTCTTCTCCTGTTTCAATGGATGGGGAAAGTGAGCGGGGTTGGCTCCTTGCCCGTAGATTCGTAGACCCTCCCATGCTTCAGCAAATCCCTCCTCTCGCCCTATCGCCTCTGTTCTTTACCTTGTTCCCAAACGGAAATCGAAAACGGGTTCCTTTACATGTTCATCGTTCTTCCTGTTGTGTTTAATTTCAAAGGAAAAGAACAAGAGAAGAGAAAGATAAGAAAGAGAGGAAAGATGAAAACGAGCACCATCTTCTCTTTGCCTTATTTTTGCACCTCCCTCTCCTGTCTTCATTTATTTCCCATTCTTTTCATTGCTCTTCCCATGAATATTGCATTCCTTTTGATCTCTCCTCTCTCCTTTCTCTCTCCCTTCTCCTCTTGTTCTCCTTTAAAGCGCAAAAAACACACAAAAGGAAGCTCCGTTTCCTTTTTGAATAAAAGAAGGAAAAGAAGAAAAGAGATAGGGAAAGACATTGAAGAGCTCCACTGCCTGTTGTTTCATTCCCTTTTCTCTCTTTCTATGTGTTGTTTCCTTGTCGTTTCAGAAAGCAAGCAAAACAAGGGCAGGGGGGCTTCCTGAAGAGGAGAGAGGTCACCTGTCTGCGAAAAGCTTGACTTTTTTAATTCTAGAGGGACAAGGGAGAGACAAGGAAGGGAGAGATGATAGATAAAGAAGAACTCCATCTTCTTTGCGCCTTGTTGTGTTTCTCCGTCTCCTTGTTTCTTGTCTCTTCTCTTATTTTCAGTGCCCTCCAGAAAATTAGAATGGCCTCCTGGTTGTCTCTCCTCTCTCATTTCCCTTTCCCTTCTCTCCTTCTGCTTCCTTTCAAACTTTAACGGATAGAACACAAGAAAGGAACTTGTATGATAAAACAGTGGAAGGGTAAGCAGGGGGTGACTCCTTGCGCGTGGACCTTACCCTTATCCTTGTCATAATTCTTCCTTTTTAGTTTTTCTTATTTCGAAAAGACAGAGGGAAGGGAGAGATAAAGGAGAGAGGATAGATAAAGAAGAGTGCCATCTTCTTTGCGCCTTGTTTTGTCTCTCCCTCTCCTTTATCTTCATCTCTCTTCTATTCTTTTCTTGGCTCTTCCCATCAAAACTGTGTTCCTCTTATCTCCCTCCTTCTCTTCTCCTGTTGCCCTTTAAGTGACAACAAACACAAGAAAGGAAGAACAAGAGTGGAACGGAAACCCTTCTTTTCCTGTCTTCTCCTGTTGCAATGAATCAGGAAAAGAGCATAGGAGATCAGGAAGGAAATTGAAGAGCTCATCTCGCTACTTTCTCATGCAATTTCCTTTCTATCCACCACACCAAAACACGACTCTCAGCTTCCAAATAAACCCTATTTAAGCCTTGCACCCCCCTCCCCCTTCCCCCCATTCCCTTCTAGTTCATGATTTTCTTTTCTGATCACCCGAAAAACGCTGAGCAGTATGACAGACGTCAGAAGCGGCAGGGTATGGCAGGGTGATCTGAGGTGTGTCTCTTCTCAGTCCTGGCCAGCATCGGCAACATCGTCACTTTTGGAATGAGCAATGTGTGGCCGGACTCTCGTCTCACAGAGCGCGTATGAGCATGAGAGCCTCTTGCTCTCCCTCCCATGTGTCTGGCGATGCCAAGTTGTAGTTAGAAAGGAGACACTGCGTCAGACTGCATCAGCTCTGTTCTGCCGAAGTATACAACGTTGATGACATGGACTTTTGGCGGTGGCAAACGGTTCGAGCTTGTGCTGATGGTCACACGAAAGCCCAAACGCAAGACATGTTGTGGTTTTGCTGAGAAAGAGCTCTGCCGTGGGAGTCTAAAACTCTGAAGTACAAGAAACTTTGTTTACGGCCGCAAAGAGAAAAAGCACACACACACACACAGCGACATTGCTGTGCATTTTCGCCGCTGTGATTCCAGTAGCGCCCCCCCCCCCGCCCGAGAAAGGCCCGGAGCTGGGCAGGAGCTTCCCCATCAGCGAGAAGTTGAACGAACCTCCGAAAAAGACCCCTCCTATGGCTTCCTCCTGTTGATGTCCCAAAAGGTCTCGCAAGAAGTCCCCTCGAATACCATCCAGCCCTGGACCTGCTCAATTGGGATTTCTGGGGGTTTCCAACCCGTCATAACCTACAGCCTCCTCTCGACAGGAAACTTCGCGAGCCATTTTTGGCCTTAACTGCCGGCGGTTGAGAGGCTTACCCCATGAAACCAATCGCTCCACCCGGCCGGCGAAACATCCTCCCCAAACAAAGCGGCTAGCTGGATCAACATTTATAACGATAGTGCTGGTGGCTCCACTAGTCAATTGCTGAGGCCAAGCCCCAGCCTGACCACTATCAACGACAGGGAAGCAGAGCCAAGCAAGGCGGGTGAGCCACCTGCTGTTTCGCCAGACTCTGGCCCCAGCAGGGCGAACGTGAGCAAGCGAGTAATGGCAAGTGCGTTCGTGTGAGCCCCAAGAAGATAGCCAAGCTCGGACGAAATCCATCATGGGCGGATCCCCACACCAGAAACCAAAGGCGAGTTGGAGCCCCCATCCCAATTGTGACCAAATCGAACAAACAAGCCCAACACCTCGGTCACCTCGGGCCAAGCCCCAGCCCGCAAACATTCCACGTAGATTGTTGCTCCGACATGCGAAGCTCCACATGACGATGCTGCGCATGCTTCCCTTTTGCCAACAACGGTGACTTTAGCAAACGTCGACCGTAAGTGGAAGTCAAGAGCAAAAGACCCAAACATGGCCGCACCCGTCTTGGGCCGCGTCACGTCAGCTTGGCATCGGCCATGGCTGCGACTGATTTCTTTGATATTGAACGGAAAAAGGCCCACCCTTGGGATGCCCCATCTCATGTTGTTGGACACGACGTGGCAAGTCGCTCCCCTAGCAGCTGGCAGTCCAAGAACATCTGCACAGAGTCTGGCCCCGTTAATTGTCCCGACAAAGTGTACGGAGAGCAGCAATGGCACGGTGAAGACCCCGCTGCAAACCGAAAGACATCCGAGCCGAGCACTCGCGATGAGAGTCGTCCTTCTTACGGTGAAGAGCTTCGTCAACTTGTGAACAAACACTCTCCAAAAGAGTACGACCGTCTACTTCCGTTTCCCCCAAGCTCTCAAAAACCACCAGCTCGTAGCCCAAGTTAGCCGCTACGCAACGCTCTGCCCGGCGACTCATATCTCGCTTCCTATCAGCATATTGATTTGCGCGGAAGAGGGTTTCTGGTGCCGCAAGGGAGAGATTAGTTGCCTGGAGAGGCGAAGTAACCGCGAGATCGACCGCAACAGGAAGCGCCGCCAATTGTCCTGTCGCAAGTATCGGCTGGTCGGGCTTGTCGTCGCTCAAAAAGCTAGTCGGTTCCAATGCAGGAGCAGGAGAAAGCCCAGCCATGTTCGCGTAGCGATGGACCGTATTCCGGAGACAGTTATGAATCCCTGCTTTGAAGCCTTGACGCATACAACCCAAGATGACCATGAGCATCAACAGCTTCGTTGCAAAATGCGCAAACATCTCCCAACCCAATCAATGGCAATCCGAGCCGCGTAACAATGACATCAGAAACTGCAGCGTTACAGAATTGCATGTCTTTCGTAGGAGATGACGAACTTTGCATCCAAGCAGCAGAGCCGGTCGCAGACACACTCCGTAACCTAACCTCTCAATGACGCCCGGTCTACCGTCTAACGAATCTTGGAAAATATATCGATAAAAGGATTCCATGAGGTGGGCCTGGTCCAACGGAGAATTCACCTGATGGAATCCATCCCGATGATCGGGGCAAAAAGGATAGAGATGGCGAATTGCAGCGATCTCCATTTCAACAGCTCGATCAACATAATCAGGCACCAAACGTTGGACATGATCAAAAGTTAATCAAAAGCCTGATGTCGCGAGACGAGATATGAAACATCCGCAACTTGGCACACTTGCATACCTTTTTCGTATCGTGAATTGAGCAGGCCCAGCCCCCATTTCAAGGGTAGCTTGGGTCCACTGAACATGATTCCAGGAACGTTCCAAGATAGCTTCGAAACATTCTTTTTGGACGCGTTGGTGGGTCACCAACAGAGAGTTCGGAGAAGTGCGCGCCCAATACTTTTTTTCGACCATATGACAGGGTTTGTCGCAAGAGATGAAAGGCCACATGCTTCCGGGGCAGGTGTCGGATAGCAGCACCGAGTTCTTCAATTGTACGCCACGCACCGTGAAGGAACTCGTCTGCGAAATCCTGAGATCCGCAGATAGGCATCTTGAGGATAGCGACATCCGTGCCAGTGACCACTCGGACCCCCAAACGTCGAAAAATGAAGGGCACATGTAGAGAAGTCGAATCGAAGTCCGAATTAGTCAGCCAAAGCGATTTCCTCTTGGAAAGTCGCCCAAACAGCCCCAACCTCACCTCCACTATAGGCATCATCGGCATACTCGATTTCGAACTCTGGGGTCGCGGCGCCGGCTCGAGCACGCATGTCGAACAAAGCATCGGGGCTCCTTGTTGCGCACGAATCCCACCTTCGATCAAGGTCCAAAGTACAACGAAAAGCCAATTTTCTCCAAACCAGCCCAAGAACAATGGGGCGGGCGTCCTGGTCGAGGGGTACGGCAGCACCCGAAGCATCGTTTTTACCAACCCCTCTTTCACTCTTGCATCATTCCACCTTTCCTTTCTTTTGCTTTGCTCTCTCTTTCTCTTGTTTGCTTAGCTCTCCCTCTCCCTCTCTCCCTTTGTTTTTTTTCTTTTTTTCGCTGTCTCTCAACTTGCGCTCTCCGCTCTCACATGTTGCAAACGAAGACTCTCGAGGAGATGCTGCGCCACGAGGCCCACGAAGGGCACGTGCACGGCATAAAGGTCACGGCGCCGGCGCAGAAGTTGGCCCTGCTGGTCTCG